TCAAAAATATCTACACTAAAGTTGATTGTAAACAAAGGGCTGAGATCCAAGGACAAAAAGAGTCTTGAGTCCAACAAGAAAGGAATGAAGTCCTTGTCATGAACAAGGATTTCTCAATAAAATTAGGAGCTGGTTTTTCATTAGAAAGCATGAAAGTCAAAAGACAGTGAACTGATATATTCAAAGTGCTAAAAGGCAAAAACATAAACCCTGTCAACCAAGAATTCTATTATCTGGCAAAACTATATTTAAAATATAAAGGAAAAATCATGACAGTCCCCTAATTTTTGAAAAAAAAATCTAATGGAATGTGTGGCTAGTAAACATGCTCACGAAATGCTAAGGAGAGTCCTTTAGGTTAAAATAGAAGGACATGAGATGGTACCACAAATTCACATTATTTTTTAAAAAAGGATCACCTGCAAAGGTAACTACATTGGTAAATATGAAAGTCTATATTGCTATATTTTTATAACTCTTCTTTTTTCTGTATGATTTCAAATACAATTTTATAAAACAATAATTATAAATCTATGTTGATGGTCACACAATGTATAAAGACATATTTTGTGCAAATAACAGAGGGGGTGGAGTTACATGAGATCACAGATTTGCAAACTCTATGTTGGTACTAAGTCTAACTAGATTGTTATAGAGTAAGATATTAACTATAATGCCCAGGGAGCAGTAAAAAAATAACTTTAAAGGTACAATAAATAAACTAAAAGGAAATATAATGACACATTCAAAATATCCACTAAAGCTAAAAAATGCAGACATGAAGAAATTTAGAAAATATAATAGAAAAGATAAATAAACAAAAGTGATGAAAGCTTTACCTTTTAGCAATTATGTTAAATATAAATGGATTAATATCTCAAATTAAAAGGCAGAGATCAGCAGAATGAATTTTTTAAATGGTTTGCTGTCTGTGAGATACATAATGTAGATTCAAAGAAGGAAATATACTGAAAATGAAAGGATGGGGAAACATTTCACACAAATGGAAACCCAAAAGGAGTGAGTGGATGGAAGGCTTTTTCCCCTTGTGGTTCTGGGTGCTTAAGGAAATCTCTTTAAATCACTATCTGGCAAGACAAAATAGACTCTAACACAATAGTTACAAGAGGTGAACAAGGATATTATATAATAATGAAGGAGCTATCAAGTCAATATTTTAACAATGATGCACTATATGTGCCTAACAACAGAGCACCCAAACATATGGAATAATGACTGCTAGAACTGAAAGAAGAAAATGACAGTTCAAGAGTAATTCTTGGTGCTGTGGTTTGAATATGCTCCCTAATTTTCATGGGCTAGAAACTTAATCCCCAATCCACAGTGTTTTGAGAGATGGCTAAGTCAAGAGGGTAGAGTCCTTGTAAATGGGTAATGCCATTATCATGGGAATGGATTAGTTACATAGGGAGGGGGTTCCTGATAAAAAGATGGGTTCAGTCCTCTTCCCTCTCTCTCATGCTGCATCTTCTTTTGCCTATCCATTCTCCTGACGTTGAATAACACAGCAAGAGGCCCATGGTGTATGTGGCCCTTTGATCTTAAACTTTCCAGCCTCCAGAACTATGAGACAAACAATTTTCATTATGAATTATTCAGTCCTAGATATTCTATTATAGCAGCAAAAAAATGGACTAAGACACTGGGGACCTTAATATACTACCTTTAATAATGAATAGACAACTAGACAAGAGATTATCCAGCAAATAGATGACTTGAACAACACTATAAACCAAGTGGACTTGACTGATATCTACATAGAATATTCCATCCAACCACAGCACAATATTCTTCTCAAGTCTACTTGGAAACTCTCCAGTAGGAGCCATAAGTTTGGTATCGAAATAAGTCCCAATAAGTATAAAAATAATGACATCATATAAAGTATCGTCTTCAATTACAACAGAATGAAATTTGAGATCAAATAAAATTGGAAAATTAACAAATACTTGGAAATAAAACTACACACTTCTAATCCAATGGGTCAAAAAAGAAATTATAAGAAAAATTATTTAAAAAATCATTTATAGGGCTGGGGATGTGGCTCAAGTGGTAGCACTCTCACCTGGCATGCGCGGGGCGCTGGGTTCGATTCTCAACACCACATAAAAATAAAAAATAAAGATATTGTGTCCACCTAAAACTAAAAAATAAAAAAAATCATTTATATCAGAGAATATAAATGAAAACACAATCACAAAATGCCAAAATGTATATATGATGTAGTGAAAGCCGCACTCAGGAGAGTTGTAGCTATATATACCATTTGAAAAGAAGAAATAACTCAAATCAATAACTAAACTCTATAATGAACTAGAAAAGCAAACCAAACTAAATTCAAGCAAGCAGAAGAAAGGAAATGATAAAGATTAGATAAATGACATAGAGTTTAGAAAAATAACAGAGAAAAAAAACAACCCAAAAGTTGGTTATTTACAAAAGTCAACAAAACGGACACAGTTTTTAGCTTGACCAACCAAGAAAAAGAGAGAGAACATTCAAATTACTAAATTCAGTAACAAAAGACCTTGCCCCAAAAAAGGATTAGAAGGAAATCATATGAACAATAGTATGCTAGCCATTATATAAATTAAAGGACATTAACAAAACCCTAGAAAAATGCAAACTACCAACATTGACTGATGAATAAATACAAAGCATAGACACACAGATGAAAGAAATTACACTTAGAGTTCAGAAATAACTTCATATATTAATGTTTAACTGCTTTTCACCAAGGGTTCCAAGACTAGTCAGTGAGGGGAAAGAAGAGTATTTTCAACAAATGATGCTGAGATAATGTGCAAAAGAATTAATTTGGACCTCTATTCACCACAGACAAAATTAATTTTAAGTGATAAAAGACCAAATGTAAGCACTAAAAACTATGAAAACTCTTACTTCAAAAAAGGTAAGTGACCTTGGATTTGGCAATGTCTTCTTAGATCCGACACCAAAGGCATAAGCAACAAAGGAAATAAAGATAAATGGGACTTCATCAAAATTAAGTTTTGTGCCTCAAAGGACACTATCAAGAAAGTGGAAAACCAAATAGACTGGGAGAAAATATTTGCAAATCATTCATCCTGTAAGGGACTTGCCTTGGACTGCGTATTTTTGTTTCCTCAACGTTAGTATGTGGAAATTCTACCTTCAAGGTGATGGTATCAATAGGTGAGTTCTTTGGCAGGCGGTTCATGAGGGTCCTGAAGAAGGGCCAGCCCCTTTATAAAAACAGGCCCAAGAGCCCCTGTGTTCCCTTCCATCACGCAAGGAAGCAGTGTGAAAAGACCACCCCCTGTGAACCAGCTAGTGGGCCCTCACTAGAGGCCAAATCGTCAACACCTTGATCATGAACTTGATCACAATCATATAAGTGATTGCGAAAACTAAATGTTTCTTGTTTATATACCACTTCTGGCTCGGTGATAGTGGTTCAAACAAAGAGCAGCCAGGGGTAGTGTCTAAACTATATAAAGAACTCTTTAAAATTCAACTAGAAAAAGACAGTCTAATTTTATAAACAAGTAAAGGGCTGGAGTAGACATTTTTTTCCAAAGAAAATATACCAAGAAGATGTGGCCAAGAAATATGCTTAAAAATGATCAAAATCTTTTAACATTAGGGAAGAAAAGAAAAGAACAAAGGTTGATAAGGATGAGGAAAGAGCAGGACCCTTATACATGACTGGTCAGGGTGTAAAATGGTATAGTCACCCTGGAAAGCCATTTTGAGAATTCCTCAAAAAGTTACACATAGGGTTACCACGGGATCAAGTAATCCGGTTCTTAAGTATGTACTCAAGAAAGCTGAAATCATGTCCAAAGAAAACATCTAACACAAGTCCATAGCAGAATTGTTCATGAAGTGGTAAACACTCAATTAACCATCAAATGATAAATGTGTAACCAACATATGCAACAGGATATGATTTAATCTTTAAAAGAATGAATACTGATACATGCAACAAAATGGATGAATCTTGCAAACTTCATGCCAAGTGAAAGAAGCCAGTCACAAGGGTTATCCATTGTATAATTCCATTTACAAGAAATGTCCAGAATAGGCAAATCCATTCAAACAGCAAGCCAATTAGTAATTACCAGAGACTGAGGGGAGAACAGAATAGGGTGTGATTACTTGATGTGCTTAGGGCTTCATTCTGGGGTAAGAAAAAAAATCCTGGAATTAGTGATCATGGTGGCATAATTTGTGAATGCACCAAAACCCAATGAATCATACACTTAAAATGAACTTTATGTTATGTTCCTTTTATATCAATTTTAACAGAGATATGAGAGGTTCTAATGTGATGGTGCACTTGAACTTTTCCATACGGGATCTTTCCAAGCACATCCCCAAGGACTATTAATACACAGGCATTCCCAACTGGCTCCTTCTCAGCCACAAGCTTTCTTATCTCCTTCCCTGGACCCTCAATACTAGGACTATGAGGATCACATCTTCCTGGCTGCACTTCAGCAGGGGCAGAAGGGCTGAAGGGGGTATTGCCAATCCTTCAGCTAGAAATCCGGGTCCCCATGAGCTGGCTGCGCCTGTTCAAGTGTTTCTGTCTAGTGGCATCAGGAGGGTCCAGCTTGCAGCCCACCCCTCACTCTTGGGCAATCTGGCCAAGTGTCTTCTGCATGCTGCTTTCTCGGGGTAAATCTGAAGGGGGCATTGGAGGAGGGTCAGTGCCCAGGATTTTGGCAGCTAATACAAAGAAGAAGTCTTTGCCCCTTTGAAGTCAGGCCAGGGATGCCCAGGATGCTCCTGCTGTCCCACGTCCAGAGGATAGCCCTCCCCACCCGCTCCTGGGTCCCTGAAGCCCAAGAGGGTCTCCTAGGCCCTGGAAACTCAGGGAGAGTGAGGGGGGTGGGGAGGGGGTGGGGATCCGGGCCTTTGATTGGAGGATGCCAGGGTTGTGGGCGTGGCTAACGGCCCAGGGCAGCCGTTGGCGGTTATTTTTCCAAGAGTCATTTTCAGAAATGTCCCCAAGCTGACATCTTGCTATGAGATGCTTGGTGGGCAGACCGGGAAGATGGGGACCCCTCTAAGGATGCGGCAAGCCACTGAGGCCCGGGTGCTGGAGACCAGGGATGGCCCCTTCACTTACCCTCATTGATATCTGAAGTTTTTCAGAAGCCTTCACCAGGGCCACTGTCCCGGGGTGCAGAGCCCCGCCCTGGGATAGTTTGCCAGAGCTGCTTCGAAGCCCCTCCGCTCCCTTCCCTCGGGGTCTGGGGACTCACCCCTCGCGCTTGTCCAGCTGCTCTCCCTCTGCCGTGGTATTGCATCTCTCGTGGAAGAAGGATTCCATTCTCCCAAGGAAGCGAGTCTCCTGCGTGCGGTGAGGGGGCCTGGAACGCGCGGGCCGGCAGGTGCACACCCAGCTGCAGGAGCTGGCCTGGGCGTCTGTCCCAGCCTGGTCCAATGCTCGGCTCCCTGGCTGCCGTGATGGGTGAAGGGTTGGGGAAGCTGGCCCTCCAAGGCCTGGGCTCAGGAGATGCCACGATGAAGGCCTAGGGCTTCTCACACTCCGTGGGATCGTGGGAAGGACGCCTTACCTTCTGTGGGCATGCCGTGTCCCCTGAAAGGCCAAGGCCTGGTCATGCCTGATTCAAAGTCCTGGTGAGAATGGCGATGATGGTGACTTTTGGAAACCGATGGGCAGCCCCTTAACTTGTGATTTCAAGTCTGTCTTCCCTGATGCACCCTTTCTACCTTTTGAGTTTCTGTTTATTTTCTTCCATAGGAAGAGCCACTGGCCAGGACGCCCCCGGGTCAAGCTACAACAAGGAACGTGGAGCCGCCAGTCCCTTTTCCGGCTTGGCCATTTTCTAGGAACTGGGAAGCCAACCTTCATGAGAACCCACACCAGCAAGACCTTGCCCAGGCTCACCCCTTCCCAGCCTGGGCTGAGCTTTAGCTATCTGGAAAAGGATCTGCTAGCAGGACCAGGGGCGCTGGTCCCCTGAACCCACACTCCCATGACTCCCCCTCTAAATATTCAGTACTCTACTTTCAGGAAGGAGATTTGAGTTCAGGCAGCCAAAGAAAAGCCTCCAGAGGCAAAGGTTCCCGTAATTCCTTCATAAGCGGGCTGGCCTTCAATGGAGCCCCACTATGTCCTTAAAACTAGGAAAGAGGAAATTCTTCCTACCTCCTCCGTTTGGTCCCAGAGCTTAGCTCTCACCCCAAGGTTTTTCCATTTACCATCAACATGGAAACTTGGCTCTTCACAAGGGTATATTCTCCCTCTTTCGTGCATTATCTTGTTCCTCAAAACTGCCCTTCTGTGAAAGAGGCCTGTGGGACCTAAGGAGCCTGGTCAGCCACCCAGGCCCCAATAAAGTCCCTCATACCTCAGGAGAGAGCGGGAAGAGTTTAATAAAGGCGTGACAGCACGCTTTACTGCCTGAGCTCGCATTTGGTGTGCTGATTCACAAGCAAAGCCCTGGATCCCATTTTCCTTCCCACACCAATCAGATGGATTTGTGTTTGTACTAGGGAGGGACCTGGGCTACGAGGATGGCTGTGATAGGGGGTCACCCTGGCCCTCCCACCTCCCCCTCTGAATAATGTTCAGGATCTTAGGGACTTGACACCAGTTTACTTGACACCTGGCAAGGTTTCTCTGCGTATTTGTGTTAGGGCAAGGACTAAAGGGAATGGATATATCCTGCAGAACATCAGGCCTTCAGAGGATGTGGGAGGAGGAAATAGCAATTGATTTATGATTTTTGAAACTTTGTTCTGGTCTTTGAATGAAGTCAAAAAAACTATTGGGAGCAGATTTCTAGTGTGAGAGAGGTGGTGTCCTAACTGAAGTGTGAGAAGGTTGCTAGTGACATAACTCAGGTTATTACGGTTTAGATACAGGGTGTAGCCCAAAAGCTCATGTGTGAGGCAACGCAAGAGGATTTAGAGGTGAAACAACTGGGTTATGAGAGACTGGAGCTAATCAGTGCTGATCCACTGATAGGGATTAACTGGTTGGTGATTGTAGGCAGGCATCTGAGGAGATGGGCGTGCGTGCCCTTGGAATTTATGAATTCTCCCAGCTGCTTTCCTCTGCCACATACTTCCGCCACAGTGTTCGGCCTCACTGTGAGTCCCTAGGAATGGAATTGGCTGTCCATGGACTGAGACTATGTGAGACCGTGAACCCCCAAATAAACTCTTCCTCCTCTGATTATTCTTGTCAGGTCTTTTGGTCACAGCAATGAACAGTCGACTAAAACTCTGCTTTGTTGTACACCTGGGAGGTGGTGGGCAACTTACCTGCACCTCACAACTGGTAGTGAAATGAGCAGAACCCCAAACATCCACTTCCTGGGGCTTCAGAGTTGCCTAGTGCCCTCTGCCCCTGGCCCCTCTCCCCTTCTGGCTTTCCCTGTGTCATGGAAGCTGATTTGGTGAGAATAAGGGTGTCCCTAAGACTTCTCAGTAGGGGCCCTGGATAGCTTTCTACCCCCATGATGGCCATGGAAGAGTCTGGGAATTGACTTTGATAATGGCTCTGGGGTCTTTACGGGGGGAGGGAGGGTACCAGAGACTGAACTCGGGGGACACTCGACCACTGCGCCACATCCCGGCCCTATTTTGTATTTTATTTAGAGACAGGGTCTCACTGAGTTGCTTAGTGCCTTACTATTGCTGAGGCTGACTTTGAACTCACAATCCTCCTGTTTCAGCCTCCCAAGCTGCTGGGTGTTACAGGTGTGCACCACCATGCCCAGCAGCTCTATGGTCTTTTTGAGGAGCAGGAATCGTGGGATCTGTACAAACCTGTGGAGCCACCATCATCAAGCTATTTGTTCATCAGAGCCCAGGGCACAAGAATACCTTCTCATGTGTTCTATTCCTTGGAGGTCTTATGAATTAAAACTATGAATTGATTTATAATTAGAATAATACCACCTGGAAGGGATATTGATGTGTGGAGGAGGGTTTATGTGAAGACTTCTGATCTTTCCCATCCCTGAGACGCTGGGCTTAATACCCATATAATGATCATAAATGTCCTATTATTTATAATAGTGTTACCATTGATCCATTACATTAATCATCATGAGTTGATAACTCCTGGAATCCTATGGCTTATTTGTACAACTTTAGAGAGCACTGTAATTTGCAACACAAAAATCCTTTGAGATAGATGCCATAGCCATTCTACATTTGCAGATTCTAGAAGCAGAAAAAAACAACAAAAAACAAAAAACCTCAGTGCCCTTGATGAAGAGAGTTTGCAGTGAACCTACCCTGACTGGGGAGGAACCACCTTTCTGGTCAGCTGTGCCTGCTCATTTCCCTACATAACAGTGATAGGCAAGAATGATGCATGTTAAAAACACGATATGGCAACCACCGTGCTCAATAAGTAACGTGGGTTCCTCTTCCATGTTTGGACAGTCCTTTGATTTCTATCTATTTGTGCTGCCTCACAATCTAAGGCAGGAGTCCTGAGCCCTGGGCTCACACCTTCTCCCTTCTCTGCTGGTTCAAGGCCAATCCAGACCCCATGAAAAACTCCCACCCTTCTGTGGAACAACCTTGCTCCCAAGGAGCCTGGACCTGGCCAGTCAGTGCACCTCAGAACAACCCGGAGGCCAGGCTCCTTGACTTCAGTCATCCCCCACTCGTCTACCTTGATCCATCCCCTCACGGGACCTGGAAGTGGCAAGTGAGTGGGGCTGTGCCTTGCAGCCATCCGTATTCATGGAGAAATGGGTTCTTTCCTCCTCCACTGCAGCAGGGGAGGACACAGCCAATGTTTCCAATGGGCCTCTGTCAGAACATGCAGGAAGGAGGGGTTGGGTGTCTCTTCCTGCCCTCAAGGGACAGACAAGACACTTGAGTCCTGAATGTGACCACACACCAGGTGGGCCCTGCCTGCCTTCTGGCTTCCCCAGGTGGAGGGCCCACGGGGATGCTGTGCCCCTTTCCCCTCCCCTCAGTGTGCACAGTGGGTGGATGGGGCCTACATCCTGGACCTGGACAGCTGTGTTGTCCCACCGGACTCTTCTGGTTCTGCCCCTCCCTTTTCCCTACATCTCCTGGCCGGAGCCCTTCTTTTCTGCTTAGTCCACAATGAACAACAGACTCTCACCCCTTCCACTGGACCCTTTGGCTCTGGAGGGCTGAGAGATCTCGTGTCCATGGAGAATTCTGGTAAAACTGCCCTTTGCAGCCCCATCCCAACTTTCCAGAGTCCATGTCCTGCACCCCCTCCCCCAGCCCGACTGCCCTCCTGTGTGGACCTCCCCTCTCCCAGCTCTGGACTGCCCTCACAGCCTCCCTTCTTGCCCTTGGCCCACTGTGGCAGCCCTCCCTGTGGGGCTGAGCTCACGGGCATGTGTGACAGGAACATCACTTCTGGGGTCACGAGATTCAAAGTCAGAGACGTGTTTCTGCTCCATAAACCCCTTAAGATCTTGGACAACAGCAATAAATAAATAAATAGCTTTGCTGGCCAGTGTAGGAAATCTGCACAATGCAGAAGCAGCACTGTGCCAATGCGAGTCTGGAGTGAGACTGGAAGGAGTGATCATCCAAGTTCTTTTCCAGAAAGAACTTTCTGGAAAACTGAGATACTTTCTGACTCTGCTAATTTTGTGGATCTCTCCATATAAATGCCTCCAGAAGTGCTTTTTCCTGGCGGTTCTGCAGACAACGCTGGACTCAGGCAGCAGAGGATCCAAGGCCAGCCCTGGAGTCAGGTGGGCTCAGCTGCCCTGGCCACCTTTGGCTTATGTGAAAGCAGAGCTGGCACACCTGCTCTTCTTTCTCATGATTGGCACAGACCCCCATTTTCCATAAACTCAGGGAGGGTGGAAAACCTTAAAGGGCAAGAGAAAGTCCTAGTCTGTGCTTCCCCAGGTCTAGGCAGAAGGATCCTGGAGTTGTTTGCATGATTCCTCCCTCGGAAGGAATCCTCTAAGGGACTCTTCTAAGTGTGGAGACTGAGGACCACTTACGCTGCTCACTGCTGTTGAGCCCCTCCCACCCCGTCCCAGCCCTCTCTGCACTGGGGTTGGAGGGACCCTGGGTATTAAGGGAGGAACAGCGGCTTGTCAGTAGGGACCTCTGGGCCACGTTCCAGCCTCTGATCAGGGCCAGGCTCTCATGGGGTGATTTTCCCGGAAGCTGGCAGAGTTTTCCTATCCCAGAAAAGTTGGCTAATCAAAAGGAATGAAGGAAGGAAGGAAATAAGGGAGGGAAGGAGGAAGGGAGGGAGGGAGGGAGGGAGGGAGGGATGACGAAAGGAGGGAGGGAGAGGGGGAGAGAGAGAGGGAGGAAGGAAACCAACCAGTGGGAGGTTTTGGTGGCCATATTTGTGTCCTTCTGAAGCCCTGCTGGTCAGATTCTGGCTGTTATGCTGCTCCTGGAATGCGGGGTGAGCAAGGATTGTATATCTGGTGAGTAAGGGGTAGAACTTCCATCCTCATCCCAGCCTTTCCAGGTCCTTCTAGCTGTTTGTAACTGTGTGTGTCAGAACATGCTGGAAGGAGGGGTTGGGCATCTCTTCCTGCCCTCAAGGAACAGACAAGACACTTGAGTCCTGAACGTGACCACACACCAGGTGGGCCCTGCCTGCCTCCTGGCTTCCCCAGGTGGAGGGCCCACAGGGATGCTGTGCCCCTTCCCCTCCCCTCAGTGTGCACAGTGGGTGGATGGGGCCTACATCCTGGACCTGAGATACCAGGGGCCACAGAGGTGACCGTGTGTGTCCTCTCTGCCCCTCCCTCCCCTGCCTCCTTCCTTCTCAAATGGCATAAAGACCAGTGCTGATTTGACAAAGGAACAGCACCCCCTGAGGTGTTCCCAGCCAGGGCCCTGGCTCTGTACCCAGTCTCTAAAACTATTTCTCCATCATAGTTTTGGGAGCTGCTTTCTGTTGGGGCTCCGCATTTCCCATCATGGAGCCATCATCACAAGACCTGGGTCTGACCAGAGTCCAGGGAGCCACTCCCTGCCTTGGATGAACACTGAAATTCATCATGCACCATTTTCCTCGTAAGAAGATTAATAAGAGTTTTCATGGATATTGAACAGGGCATTCTGGAGTAGATGACTTCTGAGAGCTTCCGCCACTCCTGAGAGTCTGTGAGCCTGACATACCTAAAATTACCTTTAATATGCTATAATTTATAATAATATTTTCAATGTTGCATATCATTACTAATAATGACTGTTATCACTCTGCCTTTCCAATTCGCTGGCTGATCTGCGTAACTCCACAGGACTCCGCAGCACACTTGCTGAGGTCAACACTTACCATTGATACTTTTCTGAAAAGGAAACAGAAGCCAAGAAATAGGCCCCCAACCAGCTCCTCCCACTGAACAGCCCCTCCTCCCAGGAGCGAGTGCCTCTGTGTGGGGTTACTCAGGAGCCTCCAGTTCTCCACAGCTGCCCTTCTCCCAAGCCTGCTTAGCTCTCTGTACCCCACAAGCTCCTGAGACAGTCAGCATTGCCTCCTATAACTCCTGCTTTCCTAGGTGCAGGATTCCAGCCTCTTCCCCTGCCAAATCTTAATTCCCTCCCTCTAAGATGGGCCAAGATTGGGAACTTAAGATCTGGTGAATTCCTCCAGAGGTGCCATAATAGACTTTGTAACTCTCTGTCTCTTCTCGAATAGTAGTTTTCCCAGGGCTATGTGTTGTTCTAAAATGAGCAAAAACAACCTGTCTTTGTAAAACCAGAGATCTGGATGCCAGCTTGTGCCCCTCGCAGAAACATGCAGTCCTCAAGGGCATACACAGCAACTGTCATTTTTACTTTAAATTGTTTCTGGTATGCGAGGCCAGCAAATGCATGTTGAATAAGCACACATGGATTTCTCCACCTCTCTCGCTTTTTCTGCTGGGCTCCATCTCCTCAAGGGCAAGGTTCACATGCCAGGATGCAAGCTTTTGACATGAAACCCAAACAACTCCTCATTGTTAATCTCCTCTGCAACTGTGTAAGCAACTTCAGGACAAATCCACCGTCTAGCCGGCTCTTCCCTGCACTACCTCTGTGACCTTGGGCAAGGTTAATCCTCCTTTACCTTAGTTTCCCTGCCCATAATGAATGTAGTAATACCTGGCCAGGCATGGTAGTACATTCTTGCAATCCCAGCAGCTCAGGAGGCTGAGGCAGGAGGATCGCGAGTTCAAAGCCAGCCTCAGCAAAAGCGAGGTACTAAGCAACTCAGTGAGACCCTGTCTCTAAATAAAATACAAAATAGGGCTGGAGTTGTGGCTCAGTGGTTGAGTGTACCCCAGTTCAATCCCCAGTATCAACAAAAAAAAAGGAAAGAAAGAAAGTAGTGATACCTGTTTCATTGTGTTGCTTTGATGAAAAATTGAGATAATCTACATAAAACTCTTAGAAAGTACGTGGCATATAGCAAACTCTCAATAAATATCCGATATGATTACAAATTCAATTTTGCAGTTCAATATTCACCTGAAAATTGCCAACCTTATGTCCACTGAATGAATTTCCTACAATTGGTCTGGATAGTAGGCAGCCAGGCCATCTTTGGGAGATAGAACCATGTCCTCCAAAATTCCACAGTCATGGCTGGGAAGAGCACAAGAGGGGACCTAGGAGAGATGCGGATGTAACTGAGGAATTAAATCCCTTCTTCTTGCAATAGTCCTCCTCAAAAGATGAGCAAGATACTTGCTTGTGACTAGGATTGTTGAGTCCATGATGGAGGGGACAGGTGTGAGGCTCTGAGGTTTCTTCCCAGGAATGTAGAAACAGGGTCAGGTAGGTCAGCTGACAGAAGGACCCATGGTTTGGGGAACAGGGACATTTTGGATATAGTTCAGGGGATTCAAAGGAAAGAAAATTAACTATTATCAAGTATTGAAATGTTGAGTTGCTGCTGCGTGGGCCAGGGCACATCGCAACCACAGTTCCTGAGCATGTGCAAAAGTAAGGTGGTGAGTTCACCATTGAATCACCAGGCTGGTTGGAGGGACCTGGGGCCATGGGAAGCTGGTATATGGACTGACTGGCCTCAGACCAGAAGGGCTTGGGAATCCTTTGGAGATGGGTGAAATCCTAGCTCCACTTCTTCATCAGTAGGAAACCAAGCATATACCTTCAGGATCCACTGACATCTCAGAGGGACTAGAAGAGGAGATCTTGCCCTAGTTCCAGACAGATGCCAGCCTGTGAGGTCAAGGCCACTGGCTGGACTGCCCAGCAGCATATCCTGCTATTGGATAAAGGGGCCAGAGGTTAATAATCCCCAGAATAACAGTAAAATGACCAGAAGTCTGCACGCTCTTCCCCTGGGTCAGAGAGCAGAAGACAGATGGAAGACATTGTCCAAACTGAGGTCAGGGTCAAGGCCATTGATGTGCCTTATGGCTATGGCAGGGTTCCCAGGACAGCTTTAGAGGTAAAGGCCAGCTCCTCTTTTTGGTCTGGGGAAGCAAGTCAACATTATTCTGCTATAAACTGCAGAGAAGGGAAACTCAGGAGCCTGATTGTCAACACTTCCTGGCTGTGATATGGAGAAGCGTCATGAAGACAACGGAAGCTGAGAACCCATGATCTTTGGTTTAAAGACTGAAAGCACAAATAGAGGTGTTTTAAACATGGAGGTCAATGTTCTTTTTAGATGTTGGGAGAGCAACTTGGGTGGATCTGGTTCTGCTCTGCAAAGGGACAAGCCCCAGGCATTCTGCTGGGAGAGGCTGTCGTGACACAACAAACTTTTCCCGTTGCCAACAGCATCGCGTGGGACCACACTGAGTTTGGGAATCTGGGTGTGATGTTTAAAGCTTCATGTTGAGGTGTTCTGGCTGCTGCCTGCCAACAGTCTTTTCTTTTGAATGTAAGTTTTTCCAGCAGCAGTCTGCAGAAACCCCAGTGGCTGCAAGAGTGGAGGAAGCCCTCAGCCCCAGCTCACTGAAGCCCTGAGAACGTCACTGTAGACACTTGGAGATCAAAAGCCCTGGGAGCAATTGGGCTGTGCTTAAGAGCAATCAATACTCCATACTTTTGGATGATCGCTCCTTTCTATTTTGGGAAGGGGAAAATCTGACACAGTGACCTTTCTCTTACCTGGCTGAAAATTACAACCCTAAAAAAAAAAAAAAAAGTGTGCCTAAGATCTGGGAGAAGTTCAACACTGTTATGATGGAGAAATGAAAAAAACATTTCCTCTGAGGAGAGCCTGCGATGTGTCATTATCAAGGGGGCGGGGAAGGGAGCTGCATTGTCTGCCAGAACACCTGACAATCAAGCATTCCCTCCATCTCTGCCATCTCTCCTCTGCCAAAGACGGGGAGCTGTCAGGAGAGCGAATCTGGGTGGGTAGGTATCTCCCCCGATAGGAACAGCGTTTGGGAATAGGAAGACGTGAGACCATAGGTTTGGTTATAGGAGCAAGCTGGTGTGAGGGTTTTTACCTCCAGGGCAAGACGTTACAGGCTCCCAGGGCAGAGGGGACCCAAGGAGACTGGAGAGGGAAGGCTCATTAACCTAGAGGTCACCAAGATAGGTGAAAGGTGACCGTGGGATGGGCCAGGCAAGGCAGTCTGAATCCTGGAGGAAGGTTCCTGGCCAGAAGGAGAGTATGTTTCAAGCCAATAAGGGCCAGGAAGGCTAGTGTGAGGTCAGAATAAACCACTTAAACAACAGGTTCTTGCCTAAAGTCAAAACTGAGGATCAAATAAAAACCGGGTGCTAAATTCATGGGCGAAACTTGGGAAGTTGTGTCAGCGTAGAACCCAATCTGTAACAGGCTGAAAGGTGAAATGGGGGGGCAGTGTGATGTCACAGACCCTGGGTAAGTTAGCCCCTCTGAACTTCAATTGTTTTATTTTTTTTAAAGGACATAATAACATCTCCCTTGAAAGAATGTAGAAAGGGTTCAGTAAGAAAAGTATGTGAAGTACCAAGCACAGTACTTGGAAACTGTAGGTACTTAATAAGCATTTATCTCTTTCACCTTCAAAAAGTTGCTTTCTAATCAATTTTGCTCTCACTTTAGAGCCGTGCTGTCCGACTCAGTGGCCAGCATTTTAAAGGTGGCTAGCCAGAATTAAGATGTCCTCTAAGCATAAAATACACACCAGATTTCCAAAACTTGGTACAAAAAAATTTCAAATTATTTTTACTAGTTTTATAATGATTGCATGTTGAAATAATACCTTGGATATATTAGGTTAAATAAAATATATGACTAATGTTGATTTCACCTGTTTCATCCTATGGCTACAAGGAAGTCTAAAAAATTACAGTGTGGCTCACATCTGATCCCTTTGGGGTGGCACTGAGGCAGACACAGAGAGAAGGTCTGGGGCTGGGAAGCTGTGTTCAGGAAGCTTTGAGTGTTGGTTTGTCTTCATGGTCCCCTTTTGAAAACACCACCCAGGACTCCACCAACACGGAGGGGAAGTACCCGAGCGCCCCTAGTGGCCAGGTGTGGTAGGGCTGGGAGGGCTGATGTATCAGGGATAGAGAAGGTGGTGGGCAGTCGGGCCTGGGGATGGACTGCTCCCTTCTCCACCTGGAGTTTCACTCCACAGTACACCTTTACTCCGGGAGGACGGCCCCACCCTCTATTTCAGAAAACTCCCCCGCCTTTTACATGAACTTGGCAGGAAGCAAGCTCTCGCCAGGCAGTAACAAACACAGGTGCAAGAGAAAATGCCATTTCAAAGTCATCTTTAGAAAACCCAGAGTTTCCAGAGAAATGAACAGCAGACATTCACAGACAGGAGAATGTTTTTTTTTTTTTTCCTCCCTCCCAGGAAGTGTGGTCGGTAGCTGTTTGGAAAACCATACATTTGACTGTACTTTATCTTTTGCGAGAAGATTGGCATTTATATTCTGACCACAGGGATGTTGCTTTCCCCAACCCCCAAGTCAGAAACATGACAATCAAAAGAGCAAGTACATATCGTGTCACGACAGAGCTCTGCCGGCTGAAGGGCACAGACAGTGAGTTGGCTCTTCCCCTTCCGCTGCCCACCACATCCCCCTGCGGGTCTAACAAAGGCAAAACGTCAGGTGGCATTGGAGACCACTTCCACAATGGCGACGTTTGGACAGGACGAAGGGGTAGGAGTCACAGACCAGGGGGAGGGGAAGGGGAGGGGGAGAGATTTCCCTTCAAGTCGCCCAATTCTGTGGGTGCCACCCTGACAGGGAAGGGATAGCCCCCTGGCACTGGGGGTGGCTTGGAAAATGAACCTGGAGTCTTGGGAGAGACTGGCCTGATCTGCTAATGACCTTGTTAGAACCAGAAAAAGATAGGGGGAGGGCAGAGTAGCAGACAGGAAAAGAAGAACCAAGACAGGAGACGGGAGGGGAGAGGGGAGCGGAGAGAGGGCGGAAGGGCACAGCTGGGTGGGGAGGCTCCTACGTGGAGCCAGAAGGTGGCCCTGCAGGGAGCCCCGCCTCCACCCGCTGGTGCCCAGGAGGCAGGGCGGGGCGTGCCTCCTAGCCTCAGACCCGAGCCCATCAGAACTTCTACAAAGTCCAGAATGGCCTCACCTGTGTGCTTTTCCCACTGTGGTGGGCAAGTAGAAGGAGGAGGAGGAGGAAGAACAAGAGGAAGAGGGTGGAGGTCCGTGGAGGAGGCTGGGGGGAGGGAGGCGTGAATCGGGGAGACCCAGGGAGGGAGAGGTAGTGCGTTGGCCATGGGGAGAGACGCAGAAGGAGGCAGAGGCCAGGACCACAAGGATGCAGGGAACACCATTCAGGTGTGTCCTCAAGAGTTTCTCCCGGCTCTCTGGGAGTGGGGGGTTAATCCCTAAGTAGACTGGAAGGGTGAGCCTCCCCTCCCACCCTACCCACCTCTAGGGGTGGGTCCTCCTCAGGGAACCATCCAGAAGGCACCCCAGATCCCATCCTGAGCCTCCTTCTTCAGGAACAGACATGGGACAGACCTGGGACACAGAACTGTTCTAGTTGGGGTGAAGACAGGGGCCTGGATCCCAATGCCCCCAGGAGGTAGGCAGCCTCCGCCCTGCCCTGGCTTGGTCACTGATGCTCCATGAGACTGTGGGCCCGTCTCTGCTCTCAGGGAGACGCAGGAAGAGCTGAGGGTGGGATGATCACCACACCTCCCCAAGCTCCAAAACTCTGATTCCGATTTCCCTCAAACATCTAGAATGTTCCCTCTGTGCCCGGAGAGGATAGGGACTGCTCTGGCAGCTGGTGCTCCTGGCCCACTGAGCTGGACACCGTGCGCTAGAGTTGGGGAAAGCCAGTGAGTCCTGAGACTGGAAGGGAAGTGGGGGGTCTTCTAGTTCTGTCTCAGGATTTTGCCACTTAGAAAGCCGAGATCCACAGAGAAAATGTCCTCGCCTGTGTTATTCAGCTGGTGGTCCCTGTGGCTCTGGAAACCACACCCAGAGCTCTGGGCTCAAAATCTGTTGTCCCCTGGTCACCCCTCTCAGCCAGCACACGATCATGGGAACTTCCTGTCCCAGCTTCCCAGGAAAAGAGGCACATGCCCTGAAGCAACCCCAGAGCAAGGTCCCTATGCCCTACAGGCTAGAGCCCCCTCCCTACCCATGTGTAGGTCCCGGAGGTCACCCTCTGGCTTAAGCCACTGTGCTGGGTGAGGGCCTATTTGAGAAGCAAAGGACACTGGGTCACTATCAGCCTCTCCTGCCTCCCAGAGCAGGGCGTGGGGATGGCTGCGGGTAATGAGGGCTCTGGGCAGGGAACTCCACACTCCTCCAAAACAAGACTGAGACCAGAGTCATCCCCACACCTTGCCAACTGGCCATGGTCACCCACAGCCAGGGAGGACGCTTTCTCGTGTAGAGGGAATTCTCTCGGTTATCTGTGGGAATGAAGAGGAGAAGTCTGGGAAATGGAAACATAAATTAGAAATAAAAACAGCACTGGACCCATGAGCGATCCGAAGCCGCTTGCTCGACGCTACATTGGTGATCAGAAAGACGGAGTCCCCGCCTCTCCAAACACTCAGGGCTCAGCGGACACTTGAGCGAGTCACATTCCCTGAGCACACCCTGCTGGGTGGTGGGGACGGGCCTGGGAAGGTGACATGGGGGGCGGGGGACTGGGAAGAAGGGACGAGAGGCGTCCACCGGGAGACAGAACTGCCCCTGGATGTAAACATCACCATGGAAACTCCACAAGACTTGCCCGAAAAGGTCCTTTGCCCTACTTCTCCCACTCCTCGGGGGTGGGAGGGAGGGTACCACCCGGGGGGCTACACCGTGCTCTCCATCACCCACTCGGAGCTGCCGAAAGTCCCCCGGGCCCCCACAAGATCACTCTCCTCAAATGGCAAGAGCATGCCATTGACGGAAAGGCTGCGCTTCGTCCAGATGTTTGAGACCCTCCGCGGAGGACTGTAGCCACCGGGGGCCACCCCTCCTGCAGCGGTAGCCACAGCTGCAAAGTCCCCCATGTCAAAGGAGTGGCTGCGTTTGGTCTTGCCCTCCAGGGGCAGAGGGAGCAGGCTCCTGGCCCGGGCGGCCGGGGGCCCTAGCAGTGGCTCTCGGTCTGAGTGTTGGGCCCTGGCTGATGTCCCGGACCCTCTCCCTGCTGGAGTCCTGGAGTCTAGCAGCTCTTCCTTCCTCTGACTCTTGAGGTCCAGGGAAGCAAAGGCCCCCATCAAGCGGTCAAGGTTGGGTTTGGGGCGGGTGGCAGGAGGTGGAAGTCTCCAGGGACCCCGTCCCAGCCCCGCAGCCTCCCCGCTGCCCAGTGAGCTGGAAGAGGAAGAGTCGCTGAAGCCCACCAGCTCGTTCCGCACCACCACCTTGGGCCGCGGCTGCAGGGCTGGCGGGGCTGGCCCAGGGGGCGCGCTGCCCGGAGGTGGAGGCTGGGCCCCATTGGTCTGCGAGTACACGTTGCTGACAGCGGCTGCTGCCATCTTGCTGGGGACCTCCTGATTGCAGATCTTGTAGCGCACCATGAGGATGACGACGAAGACCAGCAGCGTGGCCACGATGATGCCCCCGATGACCAGGATCATGGTGCCACCTAGGATCTGGCTGTGCATGGACTGGCACTGCGGGTAGTCAGCCTTGGTGAAGAACTGGGCGCAGCCCACGATGTTGGTGGCCGTGAGGGTCGTGGCCGTGTCATCCCACATGGCCAGCACGCACAGGTCGTAGCCTGTCCCCGACACCAGGTTGTTGACCACGAAGGCCTTGTTGGAGGCTGGGATCATCCTGGGGAGGGAGGTAGACACAGGGTAAGGGAGGGCACAGCGGAAGGTCAAGGTGACAGGGACGCAGAGAGCCCCGCAGAACCAAAGAAAGAGTCACCGGGAGAGGAGGGACAGGAAAGGGGAGATGGACCAAGGAGAGGAGGAGGAGGACGGGGCAGGTGACAGGCATGGGCACAGAAAACAGTGGGATAGGACATGAGGAGCGAGACCCAGGGAGGGGGAGCGGGAGAAAGGCCGTGGAAGAGGAAGCGTGGGGAGTTCAGGGAAGTATATCAGAGAGTGAGGAAGCAGAGGAGGGCAGGAAGCCACCCAGAGGAAACAGGAAATGGATGGTGGAGGTGAGAGAAGCAGCAGAGGACAGTGCAGAGGGGACACACAGGGAGAGGCAGGGGGGACACCAGAGGCAGAGATTAAAGGAGCCAAGAAACAAGACTTAGACAAAGGGGTCTCCGCCACCCCCTCCCAGGCCTGCTGCCAACATCCCCCAGTCCTGGGACGTGGGGGTGGGGGAGTCAGGTCAGCCCTGCCCTGCTCCAGCCTGTCCTGTTCTCTGGGGCGCCTCAGGACACAGCACTGAGCCCTCTCTGGGCCAGGTGCTGTGCTGGGCCACACAGGGTCCTGCCCTGAGCCACCAGCACTGCCCCCACCTGCAGGGCTCTCTCCTGAGCCAGGAGGGCGGGTGACTGCACAGGGGCCTGTTGGGCTGGGGCTGGGGTCAGGTGGGGTTTAAGTACAAGTGGGGGGAGTGGAGAACCGAGCAGTCCTGCTTCCCCAGGGAAGGGACGGACACTCCCCACTCCAGGCCACAGCAGGTGGCCCCCCAACAACTCTGGGGCAGTTTCTCAGTCAGAAGGACCCTGCGAGGGCCTCCACCTTCAGCACTGGCCTAATGGGGCAGCCGTCTCCCACACTGGGGTCCGTCCACTGCAGCCTGGGCCCCTCCTGCTTGGGCCTTCCAGATACGAGCATGGACGCAAGGCCCCATCTCTAATCGAGGGCCCACTTCTGTTTCCAGGGGTGATGCCTGGATCACCCTGTAAATGCTCCTGCAGAAATCCCCCCTGGGCCTGAAGGAAGGCCCTGCAGCCTCCCTGGTGGCCCCTCTTCTACCCCAACCCCCTATTCCCTAGGACTTGAGAAAGAGAAGGCTCCGTCCGCCCCTCCAGCCCCGAGACGCCACGTGACTGAGATCTCAGATGTGAAATACTGAGGCCTGAACACACCCACCTGAGAGATCAGGGCTGACAGGCAGATAGTGACATCCCGTCAGTGCACGGCCCGGGAGGCTCTGCCGTCCCCCCAGCTCCTGGGTCCTGCTGCTGGGGAAGCCACACTCGGGGAAAGGCCCTCAAGCCCCTCGGCATCCCAGAGGGTTTGGGACACAAGAGACCAGAGGGGAGGAGCGGTGGATCTGTCTGAGGACTCCACTGCCACAATTCTACCTGGCACTGTGCCCTCCTGTGAGAGAGTGCTTAGGGCTTTCATTTCACAGGAGGAACAGCTGAGGCTCAGAGAGGGTAAGTGATTACCAGAGGTCACACAGCTGGGACTGCTGGGATGAGGCAGTTTGGGGACTTCAACTTCTGGGCTTGTGATGGATACGGGGATGCATTTCTTCATCTCGAGTCCTGTAGGGCCCATTACAGCTCACTCTCCACCCATAGGATCCCTAGCCCTCAGGACAGAGCCCAAGGATGCCTATGTGATCCGTGTTCCCGGGGACACTGGCAATCCCCAAGCCCAGTTCCTCCTTCCTGAGGCTATAGATGCAACTTGGCGAGGTTGGAGCTGGGCACACCCAGAATGATGACAGTGGTAAGAGCAACTAGCAGCTGGCACCTGAGTGCCAGGCTCTTGTGGTTCCCTGTGCCCAGCAACTTGGCTCTCCAGAAGCTCTCTGGGTGGTCGCCGCCATGGTGCTCCTTCTGCCATGAGGGACAGAGCCGGGATGCAGACCCCAGGGGCCCAGCTGCCGTTGCTGTGAATCCCTGCCCTCTACCACCTGGAGGGCTCTGGTGGCTTGAAAAAGCAGAGCCACCAGAGGAGGGGGGCATGCTGCGTGTGGACACCTACAGCCACATGGCTGTCCCCATCACTCCTGCATTTGACACTCCCAACCACCTAGCACAGGACCTGCCTCGAGACCCCTGAGGTCATCTCCAAGTGCACCCACCTTCTGGGAGGCAGGCGCTGCTACTATTGCTGTCATTACTAAAATGACAGTGAAATAAGAGTGGCTCCCAGGGCCTTGCCTTGGGCCAGCTCCATCCTCAGCTCTTCAGGGAGCATGAATACTCACATAATCCTCCCAGCAATTGTCCAGAGGTAGTTACCACGATGGCATCTCCACGTTATAGACAAAAAACGGAGGTACAGAAAGGTTATGCTACCTGCCTGAGGGTGCCCAGCCATAGCCTGGGGCCCCAAACCAGGCAGTCTGGCTCCATGGCCTCCACTCCTCTCAGACACTGCTCATCTTCCTGCTGTCCCTGGGTGACTTTGGAGCCCTGGCTGCTTCCCAAATAAGGGAAATCATAATGGAATGAAAGCTAGTTGGACCAAGCTGCTCTTGGAGGTGCCATTGGGTGAGGCTGGTTCCTGGCAGGCTGCTGGCACTGGGGTTGCAAGGTCTGCCTGGAAAAGCCCCCCATAGTATCTAGCTCAGCAACAAGGCAGGAGGAATAATCCTGCTTCCCCAGACAAGGACCAAGAGCCAGGAGGCAGCTCCTGGATCCTCTGCCCCTGTGGGATGTGTGAGTGTGTGTGTGTGTGTGTGTACAGGTGTGGCATGTATCTGGTGTATGGTTGTATGTAGTGGGTCTGGGGTTGTGTGTGTGTGTGTGTTTGTGTGTGTGTCTGTGTGCATGTGTGTGCTTGCCCATGCATCTGGGCAGGAGATGTCAAGGAGAGCCAGAGCAGCTGACTCAGCAGGCCCCAGCTGGCAAGGTCAAGTTCATCTCTGTTAACACCAATAACCAGGACTTGCAGAGCCCTTACCTGGGGCTGGGAAGTTCCCATGCATATCGCATTTAAGCTCCTGCAAACCCCTGAGGAAGTTAGCATCATTCTGATTCAGAGGAAGAGGAGGCCGAAGACTTTGCACTCTTCCCTGGGGGAATGATGGAGCGGAGACCAGATGGGCTCCACTGGGATCCCACCCTTCTTCATCTGAAGCTAGGCCACTCCTGGCTCCAGGTAGCAAAGACAAGCCACATGAAAAAGTCACACAGAATGGCCACTTTTCAAATTCTAGTGACAGAAATGGAATTCCCTTGCCAACCACGTGCTCTGTACACCCCGTCACACCCCCAACAGAGCCATCTGCTGACCCTGGCTGCACTGGGGGCCTGGGCTCCGCCTCCTGCCCACCTGTCCCTCTCTGGGAGGTAGTTCTACTACCTGAAGGCCCCCCGCCTCCCGATGCCACACGCAGGCCCTGCCTGGACCTCTCCACTTCTGGTCTGGACAGAGGCACAGCCGCCACACAGATGCTCTGCGTCGGGAATGCTCCTAGAAGTCCTCTCAGCCCCACCATCTCCAGAGTGATCCACCCAAGTCATGGCTGTGACTGTGTCCCTTGCCACTGATGTGCTGGTCAAGGTCGAGCCATGACCTACAAGAGACAGTCACAGCCACAGCCTGAGCATCACCTCCTTGTCGTCCCACCTACACAACCTCCAACTTTGCTTACTTAGGCAGGAAAACATCCCAGGATCAGTGGGGGCTTGTCGGGCAGAGGGCTCAGTGGCAGAGGGATAATAACTGAGGGCATTTACGAAAGGACCCATTGCAAGGAGGTGGGTAGGGCATGGGGACCACAAGGGAACAGGCAATAACCCAAGGCTAGTGTCACCTAGCTGTCATCCCCTGCTGTCCAAGGAAGGACAGAGAATCACAGAGGTGGGTCTTGCTCATACGATGGCCCACAGAAGAATCCTGTCCATGAACTGTTTATTCCTGCTCCGTGATCAGCTGCCCAGAAATTGAGAGTAGGCATTACAGTTGTGAGCAACTTGACATGGGTTGTCACATCCAAGCGCATTGACGGTATTTTCTAATGTCTGTTATATAATTCCAAAAGCATTCAGACAGGGAAGAAACAGAGCTGGTCCTTTTGGAGGAATCTGAGAAGCAGCAAATGAGAGCACAGTTCCTTAGCCTCAGCCCTCAGGACCCCCCTGGCCTGGCTAAGTCCTGGCCGGGCCTTTGCCCTCTGCACTGCAGGATGTTTGCAGCACCCTGGCCTCCAGGCCTTGCAGTCCAGAACACACCCCCAGCTCTACAAACCAAAAATGTCTCCAAGCATTACTGAATGGCCTCTTGGATCAAAATCACCCCTCACTGAGACACAATGGCCTACAGGATTGGGGTGATGGAGTTTGCAGGGTCACTTCCTGGGGTGGGGACCAGACAAACAAGTAGCCCAACCTCCCTCTTCCAGGCCCAACCTTCTGCTGCTCTTTTCCATGGCAGAAGCCCACTGAAGGCAGAGCCCTTGGTCACAGTGTTCAGCCTTCCACCACAGCAAGGTGCAGGAGGGGAGAGTGCACTTGGGGTCAATGACATTAACTGAATAGCCAGAGGTCTCCGCCCTGTCTAGGAAAACCACATTCCTGAAACCCTGATGCATTTCCCTGCATCACATAAACTGGCGACGTCTCTGTTAGCAGAAAATATGAATTGCTATTTTAAGTTAAGTTGCTCCAACGTGTTAAATTTAATTAAGCTCACACACTCTAAAACACAATTTGAAATTGCAATCCCGGCGCCTACCCGGGAAAACAAAGCAGGCCTAAATGGCTGTTTCTGAGTCAGTCTCTTCCTCTCCCTCTCTCTACCCCCCGCCCCCACTCCCTCTCTGTGTTTTTATTCATTTGGCATTTGTTCATTCAGCTGAACACTATCCAACAATCTTCAGCTGACCCCAGAAGTTTAAGAAGAATTCACAGGCAAGAGCAGCCCAGTCATCCTGCTGTTTTCTCTCAAATTTGCTTTCCTTCT